CACAACAGCACCACGGCGCTGCTCGGCTTTTTGCCCTCGCTCTCCTGCATGTGCAGGGAGCGCCCGGAGGCCCCGGGACACAGGATAACCCGGTGGGGGGGCAGGCTGCAGAAGCAGGTGGAGGACCCGGCCATCTCTGACACGGTGCACTCTTCCCACTAAACATGTCTGCTTCATCAAAGCTATTTCTCATTGACAAAGTTATTTCCGTTACTAGGTCATGGGTTCATTATCACACTTTTTCAACGGACAAATACTTTTTTAATTTCTTAGTTTTTAAAGAAATACGGCAATGTCAGCACACACAGCCATATAAACAAAAGCTCCTTGGGGCCCCCACTATTTAGAAGACTAGAGGGGGTCCCTCGTTTGGAAGTGGCTGGTATAGCAGCAGAGCCAGCAGCTCCTGGAGCCAAAGAGCTTCAGCTGAAACCCTGCAGCCACATAGCCGTGCAGAACAGCAACTTCATGTGTGTGACCTGGCCCCTTGGCCTGTTTCCCCCACAGGATGAAATGAGGTAGCCTTCCTTATTCACACAAGACTGGAGCTCTGCACCAGGCACAGAAAGTGTCCCTCACCAACGTCCACCCGGCATCACTGCGCACGGCAGGGGTGTGACCCGTGTGTCCGAAACGCCCCCTGTACCTGTCAGCCACACCCAGGTCAGATTCCATCTTGTCCAGGCCCTTGGTGATGCTGTCCAGCTGCTTGCCCTGATGGTGGAGGACTCGGGCTGTCTCTTCCAGGCACTTCTGGGAACGGGCCATCAGACCAGTCAGCTGCTTCCCCTTGGTCACAGGGAGCGGTGCTTCTGATGGAGACAGCAGCAGCTCTCTCCAGAAATGCTCGATGATGCTGAAGACTGCGTTCCGACTGGGCTGCAAGGAGCTGAACCAGTGCTTGAGGTGGTCCTTCTCCAGGACGGTGAGAGACCTGAAGACAAAGTGAGAAGCCTCCTTCTTGATCTCAATCACACTAGACAGGGGGAGGCTGACCAGGGCCTCCCCAGTTTTATCAGTTGTAAATCTCAGGGAGTGAGAAGTTAACGAAAGCTTTCCAGGAACCCATCGTTTCTCCGGTTCTAAGTAGTAGGAGCAAGGCCAGGAGTGCACACAGATCTCTCTGCTCATCTGGCTCCCGGGCTGGTCTGCCCCACGGCCACGGCCACCCTGCCTCTGGAGGAGAGGGACAGGTTAGCGGATGGGTGGGGCTAGCGCGTGTCAGCACACTTGGACCACAGACAGGAGGACCGCTCGGGGTGCTGAGTACACCGGGGACTCCCACCACCCGGGACTGGCAGGATGGAGGCCCACCCCACCCGAACCAGGGTCCACGGCTCGATGCGACTGCCACCCCAGGATCCTTCACAAGAACACCACTTCTGCTGTGACAGCCCCACCAATACACAGTCCTCTCATGTTCCTACGCTAACACTCTCCTCTCGAAATCTTCATCATAAAGGAAGTAATCCTACAGGCAGACCTTTCCCTTCTTGCATGGCCCACAAATTCATCAAGTTCTACGTAATTATCTAGCTCCGCGTACGTATCTGTACGTACGGTTTCACACGGCTGTAAGTAGTGAAGGTATGCTGTTCACATCTACGGCTTTTGCATTTGCTAACAACGTTTGGGAAGTCAGGCATGATGGATGTGAGGCAATCCTGACAGAATACCACGTGCGCCCCTCTCACTGACCAGATAAGCCCACAAAGTCAGGAAAGGAGGAGAATCTCGTGCAAGGTCAAACCACAAGTATGTGACGAGAACTTGGCTACAACGAGACTTGGGAATGCCTCGTGCACCGCACTTGTGTGCAGAGGTCCAGCTGGGGCCTGTCTTCCACACCCCCCCCGCCACGCTATGCGCACACACGGTTATGGCATAACCTTGTTTGTAAACACGGGAGAACAAATCACTGCAATTATCTCTTACAATACTGAGAAGTGTGGGAGTCTCTGAATCCTGGCCATGGCTTCGAGGCCCCACAGGCCATGTGGGGCGGCAGGCACCAAGGTGCCAACACTGATATCGTCCCTGGCTCCTGAAGCTCAGCGTCCACAGAAACCCTCTGCATTTGTTCACTGAGTTATATTTAAAAGACCCAGACTTCTCCACGATGCCACATCAAGCAACCAAGGCTGGGCAAGACAAGAAAAGAGCTTGCATGGCATGGAGCTTCCTAATTACACGGAATCCAAGTGCCTGGGGAGTCGGCAGACAGCAGGCTCACCGTGTGACCTCAGGAGGGCGCTCTGAAGGGCCAGCCAACCCACAGTTCAGACCTGCTGAACACAACACCGAGTTACCTCCTTGAGAGCTTTCACACACGTCCTACGACCACCTGGGGCACAGACGCAGCACAGCGGCCTCTCCTCTGGGACGAGGTCTCTCAGTGGAGAGAGGGAACCAGAAAGCAGATGTGTCCTGCTCAGACTTCTCTCCCCAGCAAGAGGGACATCCACCCAACACTGAAACAAACACAGACCCCTGTGGCCTGCTGGCCTGGGACCCCTACTGGCACAGACATGTGAGGTCCCCCGCACAGACCCGCCAGGGCCGTTGTGCCATGGGGCCCCCGAAGTCATTCGGAGTGTGACCCAGGAGTTCTTCCGCACAGACCCGCCAGGGCCGTTGTGCCACGGGGCCCCCGAAGTCATTCGGACTGTGGAGGGTGGGAAGGTCTCTACTCTCAGAACGGGGAATACTACCCACAGTTTCTGGTGTTTCCCAGTCCAAGAGCGAGATCGGAGGCTGGGTGCCTCGGCCCCACCCTGGACCATGCTCCATGTGCTTGGTCAGCACCTGGAGCCAGCCTGACCCTCGTCCTCCCCGCTGGAGGGACCCTCCTGCCATTCAGCCACCCGACCACCACAAAGTGTGTCCAACCCGCAGAGAGAGTCAGGGCCTGTGTTGTTCACCACTGTCCAGCGTTGGGGAGCTTGCTGCAGCTAGAGGCTGAGTCTCTACTAACAAGAGCCTGTGCCCCGGGGGACTCCCGAGCTCCAAGCGAGATGAGACACACATGCTCCAGAGCGATGGAGTGTGGCACTGCAGGGTCTGAGGAGCTCCGCTCTGCCACGTGCTTTACAACCATGGAAAGTTCCTTCACTCTCTGGGCCTGTTTACCCACCACTCAAATGACTGAAGACCGAAGGACAACAGCAGCTCTGAAATATGCTAGAATTCAAAGAGAGGAGGACACTGAGGCGCCTGGCTGGCTCGGTCGTTAAGCATCTGCCTTTGGTTCAGGTCATGGTCCCAGGGTCCTGGGATCGAGCCCCGAGTTGGGAATCCCTGCTCCGCGGGAAGCCTGCTCCTCCCTCTTGTACTCCCCCTGCTTGTGTTCCCTGTCTCACTGTTTCTCTGTCAAATAAATAAATAAAATCCTAAAAAAAAAAAAAAAAAACACAAGGAGAGAAGGACAAGGAAAGAGGAATGAAGCAGAAACGAAACACTTCTCACTAAGGTGCTACACGTGAGGACTGTGAGAACAGCCCTCGGGTTTGAGGATTCCAGGAAAAAGCAAGCGGAGAAACCTGTGGTCAGCACGCTTCCTACCACACCTTTTGTGGCGCTTTCCCAACAGACGCAGTGAACAAGATGAAGGGGAGGGCCAGAGCAGGAACGACATGCCCACGGCCTCCCTCTCCCTCAGCTGTGAACTCACTGGCCACACCTGTGAGGAATTCCACACCTGGACCACCCCGGGCACAGCGAGGCCGCCTGGGAAGGCAGCCCAGCACACACAGCATCACACAGCCCTTCGCGCTGCTCCACCAGCCCACCTCACTGGTGTGCTCAGCCCAGAACCCAGACACTCCCAAACTCACCCTCCTCCCAGTCCCCCCCTCCTCTGCCTTTCCCCCCCTGCCGTCCTCCCTGCTCTCCGTCTGGGTAAGCTTTAGGTTACGTGGGAAGAGTCCCCCTCAAGCCCCTCTCCAAAGCTCAGAGTCCCAACTGGGACAACTCCCTTACCCCACCCGCAAAGGTAAACAGGGTAGCATCTTCCTCACTTAATAAAGGGGCGACATCTACCCCTCGTCCTCACCCAGAGTGCCCCTTTGTTCAGGAACGACATAACGTGGCATCCAGATTTTACAAGGCACGGCCACCAACTCAGAGCTGTAAACACAGAGCTCCAGAACTGAGTCAGGCATCTCCCCCCAGCTGCAGGACTACAGGATGCATCTATCTGCTTCTCCCTCAGGGAGATGACAGGTCTTAATCGCTCCTTCTTGTGCTTGCCCATGTATGAGACGTACTCCCCTGCCCATGCTCCGCATACATGTCATCTGCCAGGCTCCTGTAGCAGCGAGCCTGCGTTCTTCCCTTCCAGACTGACGGGGTAGGTTGGCGTTCACAGAACCTTTTCTCTAACATGCTCAGACCCGGACATGTCACCCCTACCACGTCCCCACTCAGACACCCCCCATTTCCGTCCTGCTGGCGTGGGCCTCAAATTCTCACCTTTGATTCTCCACACCTGCATTTCAGGCCCCCTGCTCCCCCACCAGCCCCTCACCATCCGCTCCAGGCCCCCACCATCCCCTTAGGCCCCAAGCATCTCTTCCAGGTCCCTACAATCCCCCTGGGCCCCCAATATCCCTTCCAGTGCCCCAGCATCCCCCTGGGTCCCCACCGTCCCCTCCGCGCCCCCAGCA